TTAGCATATAACAATACTAAGACTGGCAAAGGAAATTCACCAGCAGAGAAGTTTTTAGGTAGATAAACAAGAACTGAATTAGATTTTTTGAAATAAACGATAAAGCAAAGGGATAATACATATGAGGAGAAATTTAAAGTTGGAAGTTTAGTATGGATTGTGTTTGAAGGAGTTAAATGGGGGAAGGGTATAGTAAGTAAGAATATAGGAAGAAAAAAAGTAGAAGTAGAAATTGAAGGGCAAGAAGGAACCTTTACTAGACACCTGAAACAAGTAAGACTTAGAAGCTTAGGGCAAGAAAGAGATATTGGATATAATTAGAAGAAATAATTGATGATAGACATAATTATGAGAATCATATTTTTAGATAGAATGAAACTGATGATAGACATTATTCTCATAATTATGAGGATCATATTGATGAAAGACATATTGATGATAGACATAATGATGAGAATCATAATTTATAAAGAGATAAATTGATGATAAACATAATTAGGAGAATCATAATTCTTGATGAAATAAAATTGATGATAGACCTAATTATGAGAATCATAATTTATAAGGGTTAAAACGGTTAAGAGAATTATCATGTGGATAGAATACTATGTATTGTAGATCATTAGAAGATTATGGAATATGTATATATATTTTTATAGTAATTTTTGTAGATGGCGTCATACTTTCGCTTAGGAAATAAGATTATAAAGATGGAAATTAGAGAGGTGGATGGATCAGTAGAATCTAAAAGATGTATGGAATCTGCGAGAACGGAATCGCAACAGAGATATGGGAAACTCCTGCAGGAAGTACCCAAGAGACAACGATTCGAACGAAGAAATGAACTATATTGGGTAAAGAAACTGTCTGCGATTCCGTTGCTCGCAGATTCAGAAATGCACAAGTTGAGGTTCTGTCCAATAGCAATAGAGACCTCAAGTAACAATACAGCGTTTTCGGTGCAGGAGAATGGGGAACCAATGAAAGATGCAGTGGAAGGTTAGTCTTAAGAGTGGAGGTGTTATATTCGCTTTGTGAATATGTGATCGACGATTGTTAAGTATTAATTTGAATATGCAGTCTAGGAATTTTTTTTTTATGAACTTGAATAGACTTGTAATTTTAATTATTTTTTATGAATACTTGTAATTTTGATTATTTTTTATGTATTTTTAATATACTTGTAATTTTTTTTGCATATTAAAGAAATGTATATAAATGAAAAAATTTAAAAATAAAAGTCAGTGTATGGTTTTATAATTCAAGAAACTTATTTTTGTGGTATAAATTTCGAAATTTGGTTTCGTAAGATTTTACCGAATTATTTAATTTTTATATATATTCTTTTTTATTAATACTAGGTTCCATTAAATTCATTAAGTCTCTCCCACGAGCCTTCGACAATTTGATTACAATTCATATAAGGAATTGTAACAGAAGATATTATGCTAATATGTCTATAAAAATTTTTAAAATTGATTCATGAATTGAAATATATTTTGCATATAATTATAATAAAAAATTAATTTTTTATACCAAATTTATATCTAGATTTTTTTTATTATGATATTTTATTTAATATATAAGAATTAAAGCGATTTTTCGGAATTAATATCACCTTCAATTTTTATCAAATTACTAAAAGCCTCTTCCATATTTACAAAAAAATATCGACCTGACCAGCTTCTTAAAATTAATAAAAATGATTAAAAACAGTGTATTAATATTTTTCCAAAAGGGATGTCTTTGTATAAAGTTAAATATTTACTTTTTAATCGCTTTTACCTATTTTATATAATTTAAAGGATTATTTATCTTGTATGAAAATAATAATTAACGAGATCTTCAATCAATAATAGAAATTCAATTTATTACACAATTTATATTTTATTATCAAATATAAGCCCATATAACGCATATTTAATCAATATTAGTAAAATTAGTTTAATCAATCAGAATCTTGTATATACCTGACGGCTGTAAAAATTTTAAATTGTTCTCAAAACTATTTTAAGGTGTGAATTCTATCAAAATGAATTTAAATGAGGGATAATATATCGTTCAGGCACATTTTTCTGAATATTATGCTTTTATGGTTTAAGATGAAGTACAAGGATTTCCCTGGAATAAAGCGCAAGTTACCATTCAAACTTTAGTGATTTATTACAAGACACTTGATAATTTTTAATCATGTAGGTTACGTAATAATATCAGGTCCGTGAAGTTGGCTTGGCGGCACATCTTGAGAATCAAATCCCTGCCAATATCTTAGACTTTTAATTGATCTTCAAACCAGATACCGACGGAATCAAAGCTTAGTGAGTTATAAGTAAAATAAGGAAAGTGTGACATTTTGAAGCTGGTGGAACGACTTGAGAATCAATTATCGAAACTTATTTGTGTAGGACGTTAATAGATTCTAAGTGATCTTTAAACCGGACAATGGGATGAACGGTTACTGAGTCATAAGCTAAATAATAATTTTTTATTTTTGAGAGTAAAGGGTTGAAAGTAAAGCGCATTTTATTTATTATTTTTAAAATCAACAAATCTCAAATAAAATAAAAACAACATTTTAACTCGAATGTTTATGCGAATCCATTATTTGAATTAAAAATGGATACATAACATGAATCTATGACAAATAGTGAATGGTTTTTTTGGAAGAAAAGAATCGAAAAGGAGGTGTTAGTTAGATTTTTGCATCCTCAAGGACCCTCAAATTTTTATAAATATTCCTTCCTGAGTGACAAATTGTTGATACATAAAAGCACAAATTTTAGATGTGGTGAGTTGTTCAACTGCTTCCGGAATGAAAATATACTTTTCATAAAGATGAGAGAATTGAAACTATTCATCTTTTAAATATGCTTAAATATATATAATTATTTATATCTCTAACTATATTTTGTTTCAAATATATTTTAATGGAATGAATTTGATTATCTGTATTTCTTTATCATTAATAAATAGAAATGATAAAAATAAAAAATTAAAAAAAAAAAGATTTATTATTGGAAGCTTGATATTACATTAAGATGTCTAAAGGGCATCTTCCCCCACGCTCCTCAGTATAATTGGTACATTCAATAGAGATTCAAAATATTTTATAAAGTTGAAAATATGGCAAAAAACATTCTTTGAAAGCCATCTCCTAATTCCTTAAATACACACCTAGAAACTTTAACCAGAAGTAAAAGACTAGAATTGGCGCCAAATTATTTTCTTCCGAGAGATTTTTTACAAAATGATGTATTTATTTTTACCTTAAATATTTGTTGAGATGTAAGAAATTTAAAAATCCCAATGGCTCGAAAATCGTCATTGTTCGCTCCTTTGAGACCCAATATCTCGAGATCCAGATGGTGCTAGCGAGCTAAAATGAATGGATTTCACATGTTTTTACCGATTTAAAATTTCAGAAATTTTTTTTTTAAAAGAGGAAGGTCTAATCATGATCTATTATGATATGGAATGGCCGAATTTCTTTTTGATTTTAAAACCTACCTTGATTGTTATTCTCGCTTTACAAGATGATCAATCCTTTAAATTATGTCAAATATGTTAAAAAAAACTTACTGATATGTAATCTTATACAAAGGAAACCCCCTTTTGGGAAAATATGTATACACTTTTCTAATCATTTTCATTATTATCAATTTTAAGGATGAAGCTGTGACGGTGTCCCAGGCAAATTTTTTTTTATATAAATATAAAAGAGTAGTTTAGTAATGTTCTACTAATTTTTAGTAAAAATTGATAGTTGATATTATTTTCAAAATATTTTAAAGGCTGGAAATAAGTGTTGTTAAACGGCTCGATTTTTAAAAACGATGAGCCCAATATTTTAGCCAAAAATATCATGAAAGCTTGGAGATTTTGTTCATAGATGACAGAAAGTTTTGGGCATCTATTAACGAAATTTCGAGGCATTGCATAACAATTTTTGGCTAAAATATTGGGCTAGCTGTTTAACAAGCTGGAATTTCGTAAAATGACAAAATTTTTCTATCTCGTACGTAATTTTGATATTAAATTTGTTATTTACAATTATGTAATTTTTAAGATATGTTTAGTTGAATGAAGGCACATAGTCATTTTTACCATTTTTGAGCCCTAATATTTTCAAAAATATAAATGTTAAGTATACAAAAATTTTGGCTATTTCTTAGTTATATTAACCTTCCTTTGCTTATCAAATTTTTAAAAAAATCGAAGGGGATCGCGCCGAAAATCGCATTTTTTTTTAAAGGTTACTTGGAATAACCACTATAATAGAGTCAATTTTTTCTTGAACCTTATATTATTAGGGCTTCAAAGTGTATTTTATTTTTCGCCCCATTATATTGCATATATTTAATAAAAAAATATTACTAGTACAGATATATTTCTAAAAAAAAATTCGATTATAAACATATAACTAATGTTTCAAAACGACCCGATTAAGATTTTAGCTAAACTAATATTATGTAAAGGCATCGAGATTTGGCAAATAGATGTTCCAAGCATTTCTGCCAGCTATGCGTAAAATCTTTGGGTTTTATATAATGTTATTTTGGTTAATAATTTTAATAGGGCTTTTTAACAACACTACATATAACTTTTCTAAATTAGACGATGAATATCCCCCCCACCCCCAATCAATTTCCCAATTTCCCAATTTCAATTCAATTCAATTTTTAATAAATTAAATAAATCTATTTTATAAATTAAATATGTATTATATATATTTATAAATAAAATAAATTATAATGGTTTTGTAAAAACATAAAATATTGATTGATGATAAATTAATTTTTATATACGTTTTTTAAATATAATTAAAATTGAAGAATGATATTTAAAAATAAATGTTATTGAGAACTAATTTATATAAAACTTATTAAACTAGTAATATACTAAACAATTTATAATTATATAATGATATAAATTTGATAAAGATTATTTTAGGAATTTCAGTTAAATTTTAGAAATTTCAAATTTCATAAAGAGGGCTCCGTTTGTTCTACTTTTAAAACTTTTTTTTTCAAAAAAATAATATTAATTTTAAAAAAATTTTCATACAAAAAAAGTAATTACACTTGAGAGAAGAAATGAAAAATATTACAAATTAAAAATATAAACAGGTATAGAAATTTTTTTTAAGCGATTACAGTTATAACCTCACTTAAAAAAAAATTTTTTAATTTTTTTTTTTGAAAATTATTAATTTTAAATAAAATATTTCAAAGTAATGTTAGTTAAAAAAAAACCACAAAAATATTAGGATTTGGGGCAATGAAAATATGAAATAATTATTTTGTTTTTTATAGTCTAAGGATGGAGTTGTCTTATATCGTCCTTAAAAGGAGATTGATTGGTTGGGCTTTCAACTTCGTCCACGTGTCTTACATATTTGGGCTCTGTTTCATTCATGGAATTTGGATTTAAAGTGGATCTCTCACTCGAATCGTCATCCGAGCCCTCCATCAACATGTGACTCAGATTTAGCTGGGGTATCTCGTAGGCAATAGTTAAGAGCAATGCCATAAATAACAAACCCACCAATAAGAAGACTAAATTAAATATATAATAGTAAATATCGGAATATTGGCGTTGTCTAAAACCTCGAATTAGCCAATTTTTTAAAAGGGCGAATTAAGATTTTAGCCAATAAATGGACACTAAAGATTTTGAAAGATCTGACCATCTTGATCATATTTTAAGGCTTAGATTATATATGTTTTTTTTGGCTGAAATATGGTCTGCACATTTACATGTCATTTACCTTGAAAATTATATACTTATTTAGTCTAAGGGCAGTAGTGTTGTTAAATAACTCGATTTAAACCGATTTTTAAAAACGGTGAACTCAATATTTTAGCCAGAAAAATATCCCCTAAGTCTCTAGATTTTGTTAATAGATGTTCAAACCTTTTATGCTAATCTATGAACAAAAACTTGAGGAATTGCATAATATTTTATGGATAAAATATATAGCCTTTTTTTTTAAATCGGCTCAAAACAAGTCGTTCACCAACACTAATAGGTAGTCCATAATCATTGATATATATTATATACTATATTTATAAAAAATGATATTTTTAATGTTCAACCTTTCCAAATTAGTGTATATATACACCAACCAGGAAAATGTATTATAAGTTTTGGGAAATCGGCTGAGCTAACTTGGCGTAACCCAATGATATATACACTACAAGATTGGCAATTCAATCATTAGACTTTAAAAGTGTACACAAGGAGTCAGCTCTAATGCCATTTTGTAGTTTGCACGTCGATTAAATATATTAGTGTGCATTCATGTAATAATAATAAATAAATGCAATTAGTCGAAGCGCCAAGCTCAAAATGATGATACAGCTGACTCCTATGTCTGAACACTTTTAATTATGGCCTAAACTTGATGTTCTTCTTTAGGTTGAGCCGTCGGCCTCGGCTATGTGGTTTAATATAAATATATCTATAAAAATAAGTTACTTGTCACTGCAATTTTATATATGGCTCTAAGTTTTTGTCCCCTAGCTTCCCCAGGAACGTAATCTCCATAACCAATCGTAGTGAATGATATGAAACAGTAGTAAAAGGAATCTTAAAAATAAAAAGCGATTATTAATATTTGACGAACAATTATTAAGTTGGGGTGGGGTTACAACGATAGAAAAACGAAAAAGAATGTAAGTGTTTGTTTAAACGGCTCGATTGGCTAACTTAAGATTCTAGCCGAAAACTGGAGAGAATTATACTAATAGTTTGGCATAAAGGTTTAAAACATCTATTAGCGCGAAATCTTGAGACCTGCCTAATATTTATTTTATTGCTAAAAAAATCTTAATTTAAACTTCGCCAAGTCGAGCCGTTTAATAACAACAGGTGGTAAAGATATCGAATCTAAAATATATTACCCAAGAAATTCCAGAATGGTTCAATGGCAGCAAAGACGAGGGAAGGAATAACGAAGAAAAACAATACTAGCAAGAATACCATCGACCCCAAGTGAATCAACCTAATCTTGAAAGGGGTATAACGATTCCCATACCTGTTATTTACCCACTAAAATTGATTTTTTTTAAAAGAAAAAGAAATGAAAGATGATCATGAACATCAAATTTTTTAACTTAAACCGAAATGTAAACATTTCTGCATTCTTGCGAGGAATTCGGAATTCCTTAATTCCTAATCATTTATGATAAAGATTTTTATTATTCTTATTTTACCCGAAAATGTAACCCAGAGATTGTGTAATTAGTTAGCCAGCCTATGAATTTCAGTCACTCTTTACCCTCGTAACCCCTGCTTTCACAGTACATAAAGGAATGTAAAATTATTAGATTTATATGATATTTTATATACTTCGCCGTGAATTTTGCGCTAACTGTGAATAGTGTTGCTAAACGGCTCGATTTTATAAAAATGACAAATCCAAATATTTTATCCAAAAACTACTACGCAAGCCTGGAGATTTTGTTTATAGAAGGTAGAAAGGTTTGCACATCTATTAACAAAATCATGAGGGGTTTGAATAATATTTTTTGGCCAAAATAATGGGTTAACCGTTTTTAGAAATCGAGGTTTTAACAACACTAACTGTGAACACAGGGTAAGCGCTTGAATTATTCTCAACTTATATAACCATTTTTCATATAAATAAAAAAAAATTATATATATAAAATTTTATGATGACGGTCCGAAATTCATTGGGTAAAAGATGTGACATGTGCCGAAATGTATATTTGGTAAAAATAAGTTGTTTTTTTTTCAAACTTTAAAAAAAAAAATCAAAATCGCTCCTTTAAGTGTTTCTAAACTGCTCGATTTGAGCCGATTTTTAAAAATGGCTAACAACGCAATATTTTATCCATAAAAATATAAAGCAAGCCAGAAGATCTTGGTCATAGATGGCATAAACGTTTGGACATCTATTAGCGAAATTTCGAGGTTCAGGCAATATATTTTTTTGTCTAAAATAGGGAATTAGCCGTTTTTAAAAATCGGCTGAAATGGAGTCGTTTAACAACACTGCGCTCCTTATAGGTAAATTAAAATTGAAAAGAATTTCTAATTCTTACATGAGAATCTCGGATAAGTGGTTAACCCTGAAAAAAAATTTACGACTTATATTGTCGGCTGAATATTGGTGTTCTACAGCCACATTTTTTTTTATATCAAAATATAATTTCTTTCCAGATAAAATTAGTTCTTCAAAGTTCAGTATTTCTTCCATATCAACAATTAAAAATATTAAAAATATAATTTAGAAATAATCCGTCATATAAAAATGATCAGTTTTCATTGCGAATAAGACAGATATCTTCATTATTATAACAAAGTTCTTAAAAGATATTTTTCAAATGGATCTTTAGGTAGAGATTTAGATACATTATATAAAAATGGATCTAGATAGAGACACCGATACATCGTCTAAAAAGCTAGAGATATATTTTTACAAATATATGTAGAAACAGATACAATTTTTAATAATTCTAAATTTAGGATTCTACTAAGTGAACTAAAAGATTTATTAAAGCTGATATCATGTCTATATACAAATATATAATTAAAATAATTATTGTTAGATTTTAATAATTCGTATACTAAATATATAATTAAATGATTATATAAATAATTATTAAATTTTAATAATAAAACATTCTCAATATATCATGAAAGCACCCCCCCCCCCCCCAGTTCTGTAATGACATTTTTGGCTACACTAATCTTACTACCTGAACACTTTACAGCAGAGTTTTTGTTATATTTATTGAATATCAACTTTATATTGATTTAATCAGTAAATATTTTAAAATTCGGACACTAATTTTAAAAAAAATTATTCAAAATTTGATGAATGTCATAATTTATATCAATACTTATATCATCTAAGGGGTGCCCCAGTAAATCTAATAATTTGATTTCTTTCCAAAGATTGTCTAGAAATATTGATCTAAAAATTATGATATATATATTGGTGTAGCTGTTGAAAAAAAGAAGAAGTAAATTTAATATAATATATCAAATGTCAGTTATTTTCTGACAGGGGAATTAGTGTTTCCTTGTGGATGGGAGTGAAACAAAATCATCACATGGGTTTTTGGTAAAGAACAATGGAAGTTTCTTGGTGTGCGGTTTGGAGTGAAGAAGACATTATATTGGATGAAGCCGGGATTGATCATATTTTTAGATATTTATATTTGTATTGGATGAAGCGGGATTTGTATGAATAAATTGTACTTTTAAACTATATGGGAACTTGGACTATTTCTAGTTGGAAATGTTTATTGTTTATATTTATTTAATTATTAGAAAAGGATTGTTAAGTTATATTTTTAGAGGGAAGGGTTGAGAGTAAGGGGCATTTCTATACCTATTTTTAAATTAATATAAATTAAATATGTTATAATATAAAATTTACCATGTTGTCATCATTCATTGCGTAAAATTAAATTTGCCTGGTTTGTTTTTGCAAATAAACTCGGACATATTATTAAATGAATATATTTCAATATTATCAGAATGTTTCTAAAAATAAATACAGATGCCTCTAAAATATATCTGGAGACCGTTACTTTTTATAATAACTAGATATAGCACTTTTATATCGATATTTTAACAATTCTGATTATATTTATATGTACCCCTAATTTTTTTCTTCAATATCCGAATAAGTAACCATGTTTGTATATCTTTAGATTAACTATACATTTTATATATTTTTTTAACCAAATTTATGTGCAAATTTTTTCTTAAAAATATATAAAGTATTACCCAAAAAATGGAAATTTTATATATCTTAAAATGGAAATTTTATATATCTTAAAATTAACAAAAAAAAAGAATGAAAATGTTTTAGTCAAGAGATCGGAACTTAGACTAAAAATGAATTCCCATTCTGAATATTTGAAAAAAAGAAGAAAGTTGTTCCAGTTTTGGGGATTCCTAAAATTCTGAAAAGTAGGTTTTAGGTTTTTAAATTTGACCTGTTTCAGAGGGTTTAAGCCGGATTTCCTGATACTTTATAATGTATTCAGGTTCTCATAAAACCTTTAAAAAAAGGGTTAATTGTACTGGTTCTAAACATTGAAAAGGATATTCAAATCAAAACTAACGACTATATCAAAATTAGCGTACCCTCCTTCTCTTTACATTTATCAACCTCCCTATCCCCTTCCTATTATATTCTAATGCTCTCTATACACTCTAGTTAACCCCCTCCCCCAATTTGAATGACGATCTTACTAAACCGCGTCAAATGTAAGAACTGGAGTCAGAACTGAGAAACTATTTAAAAATATTCAGGAGCAGAACAGTAATTTTTATTTTAACTCCAGGTTCCAAACTTAAAATAGTTACAATATAAATTTATTTTTCAAAAAAAAACACTTCGTATCAATGAGGGTGTCCAGCTCTGTCATTTGATGGGGGTCTAAATTTTATTCCTTGAATAAATTAGATGAATCAAATAAAGTATAAACATTTTCCCTCAGAATTGATATTTTTAATCTTATTTTGTCTACACGATGGATTAAAAAAATAAAATAAAATAGATAATACATTTGGGTGTTTTTAATGAAAATATAGTTTCGAAATATGATATTGTCCTCATAATCGTTATTTTAAATTATTTCCCTTTATTTTGACGGAAATAGTTTAAAATAGATATTGTAGGTGAAAGATATGATAATATGTCATAATCCTAAATTAAAATTAAATTTTACTAAATAAAAAGAATAAAAATAAAATTAACAATAGCAAATATTTTTTTATAACATATTTTAACGCCAGCTAGCGGACAATTTTATAATGAATTTTAAAATGGTAAATTAACTTTTTTAGAAATTAATAAATAAATAATTGATTTAAATTTTGAAAAATAATTATTTTTTATTACAAACCTGCTTTATGTTTAATTAACCTTTGTATTTTTTATTTATTTTTATATGCTGTAAAGATTAACTAATAATTAAGAATAATATTTATCTAAATTGTCCATAATATTCACCGCAATATCTTTAGCAATCGTCTCGAATAGCTTGTATTTTTAGTGGCTTCATCTACAATATTTTCAGCTAAAAATTTAAGGTCCAAAGTCTTTAATAGCACTTTGATTTTAATATAATTTTTATCCTCCATCATATCTTAATACTAGTGTATATTAGTATCAAGATATATCTCCCACCCTTTAGGGTTAAGTTCTTCAGCAGAGTGAAATAATAATATATATTTTTCCAAAAATATAATTTTTAAAGTTTTTCTTTATATAACAAGAAAAAATAATTATAATATATCGCATATAACCACAGAACAGTAAAAAAAATCAACATTTATATCAAAGTTAATATATATCTTTTTAAATTCATATATTCTTTGTTGTTGTATGGTTATATGTTTTGAAATATGATTCCTTTAATGATATATTTGATTTTCTCAGAATTTATTTGAATTTCTCAAAAGAAATATTTATACACTATTTTAAACAAGGGTTTTCTTTTTACTGTGATTTCTCTGTTTAGTCGCATGCAAACATTACTTTAAAAAAGAAACGCGTTGGATGGGAGGGTTTGTTATTATATTAATAAATAAAAATTTTAAATTGGGGGAATTAATTAAAAATTAAAGAGTAATTCAGATTCTAATAATTTTTTTTTTATCTTTATCAGAAAATTATCTGGTATGTGTGTTGTTTTCTAAATGAATCGAATGCTGCTTTTTTCTTTCTCAAGTATTTTCTTAAACTATAAATTAAACTTTCTACCTTCGCTGCCCTGTAATTTTATCCAGAAATAATCTAATTTAAGTAACGGGTGAATTATTACTAATAGCATATATTCATCTTTATAGATATAAACCATTTTTGTAATACAAGTTTTCGAATCTGAAATTTAGAAATATCCAAATTGTGAATCAATTGGAGATTCATTTTTTTTTATCTTTAGTAAATTTTGCAAAATGGTAACCTTTCACCTAATTGGCTGATGCTACTGTTACCTCTTGAGATAATTAAATACAATTAATAGATATTGGATATTTCATTATTGACGATTTTCAACTATAGATAATTCTTTGATAGCGAATTAAGAAAACAGTTATTTTTTCCCTGAGAGTGATTTTCTCTAATAACCCTATTAGTTTTTTTCTAGGTATTTTTTTACTAGGAATATAGAGAGTAATTCCTTACTGCCAGCCATTATGCCTATCGACCCCTTCATAAAAATTTATCTATAAATTGAACAGATCTTTATTGTAGCACATTTGAGTAAAATCTATCATCTCAGCTAAAACTTCATTTGAATAATATAAACCAAATTCTTTGTTCTACTTTATGGCGCCTAGCCTAGTATATGATATGATTATAGTATACTCCGAAAATACTTTCAAACAAATTTTGATTGCATCAACAATGTCTGATATTAGAGATGAGGGTTTTAATAGGGGAAGGTTTACATTTTCTAAACTTTTTTTTGCATTTGCAAATATAGTGGCAAAATCCTTTATTCCGATCTCCCCATTGGAAGTGGATAATGCGTCTTGAAGCCATGAAAGGTCACTAACAAAAATTGACAATTTTTTTCTATTATTAATTTTTATTTTTAACTCGTAAGTTTTGAGAATTTGGGGAGTGTTTTTATTAGGAAATACGCCTTGTGGGCTGGGAAAAGGATAGAAAGGGGGCATAGGAAAATACTATATAAGGAAGAATTAATTAAGATGTAGATAATAATAAGTTAAGTTTCTTGCAAGATCGATTGCAAAGTGCAAAATGTTAAATTCCTGTTCGAGTTGGGTCTGGGGTTTTGTGAATATAAATATAGCGGTCGTAGGAGACAAATTGTAAAAATAAATTATTTTATTTAGGAGAATTCGAATGGGTAGAATACTCGAATTAAGTTTAGGAAGGATAGTGTAATTCGGTAAATGATTGAAGAAATACTCAACATAAAGAATTCTGAAGGAATAAGCGGGACTTCGAAGAATATAATTTGAGTATTCACAAGAACGACTCCAATATTGAAATACTCGCATCATCAAGATAATGGGGAAGGATAGTTAATCGGTGGGGGGGGGGTAAAGAGAAGGAGAACAAGGAGAGAAGAGAGAAGAGGAGGGTTAGGCAAAAGATAGAATAGGAAAAGGAAAAAAAAAGAATAAAAACAGGAAGAAAATGGGGTTACTTGGATCTATATAGAGTGTATGAGAATAGATGGACACAATAATTCAGAACACAAGCTAATTTGACAGGATATAAAAATAACATGATTAATTTTACAAAAATAAATTTTAAATAACCTCCGTTTTTAATTAAAGATTAAATGATATTTTCAGTTCACTATCATAATATTTTAAATAAATGATATTCACTATTATATTATTCCATTTTAAATAATTATATATAGCTTAAATAGAAACTTTAAATTATATTTTCCCTATTATTATATTTTAATTAAAACCCAATTTAATATTACACCTTTTAATATGAATTTTTAAGTTATATATTCTATATCAAAGTAGTTTAACTAAATGATATTCACTATTATTTCATTTAAATAATCACATCTTATCATATACAAACTTTAAATCATAATTTCCCTTTCATTATATTTTAATTAAAATATAATCTAATAATTACATCTTATGTAGGTATAAATTTTTATATCAAAGTAGTTAAATTAATGATAATTAATAATTACATCTTTATTTATAAATTTTAAGTTACGTTATTTTTCTAAATATCATAATATTAAAAAATATCGCACATTATTATGGTAGGTATATAAATTCACTTTATTTAAAAAATATAATATTATGTGATTCTGATTGTATATAACAAAAATCAATGTAATATCTTTAATATAAAACTAGAGAAGATATAGTAACGTCTAGTTTGTTCCTAACATCAAAGAATGTAAATACATTTTAAAGTATCTCCTAAACTCGAACCAAAGTGGTTTAGCCAAGTTTGGAAATTGAAACCGGAAACAAAACATGGGACTCTAGAATCGGGATAAATCTAGAAACCGGAAATAGAACTTGGAACTAAAAAATTTATAGAAACCAGAAACATTTTTTCGTTCAGATTTCAAACTTCTGGTTTTAAGGTGAAATGGGGGAAGATTTGACGCTTAGTAAATTATAATATATATCACATGATCACATTTTTTAAAAAAACTTACTTTTAATAACTTATTTGACACGTGTCCTAGTCTCTCTAGTATGGCTGTCAACAGTATCAGGGTGTATGGTATACCTATCAGTACGTATATGATGCAAAACACTTTACCCCAATTAGAAAGTTTTGAAACGTGCCCATAACCTTTTTAAAAACAGCAAATATGCATAATGATAGATATGAGCTGTAATAAAAATTTACATAAAATAAACTCTTCGACAACAATTCCTTGTAGATGGAACCTTAAATTAACGTATATGTCTATGAAAAAATGAAAGGCCAAGGGAGATAATTTCAGGGAAAAATTTAAAAGGGCTTAATAGCTTTGAAAAATAAAACAAATGGAAGAAGAAAAAAAATAATAATAGAAAGAAAGAAAGAAAGGAGAGGTAAGAACCTAACTTTACATGTTCGTAATTTTTTTTTTAGCAATTTATAGACAATGTACAAATTTATGCTATAGGCCGATCAAATTAAAAAGCCAGCATGGAACATACGAAAATCCTAAAAAGCTATAGTTTTATCGATATATATATCAGTTAAGCGAAACAGCTGATCATTATCATACCTCCCAAACCCTCATTCGCAAAAAAATGCAATAACTAACCAAACAAGAATTACCTATGGTGGTCAGGGTTGTAGCGGCAAAGAAAATGGCCTGACCGAAGTCCCAACTTGGCAGATACTTGACCTCGTCGTATAAGGATTCCTTTATGCCCCGGTCTCCAGCGTCGCTAATCGTTTTTATGAAATCATCTAACTCGTATGCTATATATATAAAAGAATTTATATTAAAGGGGTTACAAAAAAAAAGAATTAGGAATAAAAAAAAAATTATAATTGGTTGCAAATTCTATAATTTTTTGATATTAGAAGAAGTCATCTTTTTAACTTTCCTCGGTGAGTCATATATTATATGAGAGGATGAACATCTGGATTCTATTTTAAAACTTCCTAAAAGTGTCCTTGTCTATAGGATGGGTATTTAATCCTCGAATACACCAGATTAAAACGTTAATATTTTATTTGGTACCTAAAAAAGCATCTTTAAAATCAACCAAATTTTTTTTTATCTTGTAATCAAAATGTTCAAAATTAGGATTTAATATGATGCGGGTAGCTCATTTTTAAAGCTCAGATACGAGCTATTGCGGGTGGATATCTTAATTAAAACTACCACTTATAATATCCTTTTTGGAAAATGTGACCATGATTAAAATTAGAGTTTAGTTAAACGCTGGGAGCTCACATTTGCCCCTTAGATATGCGCCGGGGCGGATGGTTATCTTAATTTAAAACCACTTAGGATATCCTTTTGAAAAATGTAACCAAAATAATTGAAATTAGAGTAATTACGTGGTGAGCTCACATTTGCCCCTAGATACGCGACATGTAGGGTGGATATCTTAATTAAAACTCACTGAAAAATAATAAGTTAAGTTTATAAGCCTTGCCTGTTTAGTCGAAATGGTGTGTTTTTTTTAAAAATAAAATATTCCCTAATATTTGCTTTGTCATTATGAAAATATAATTTATACCATATTCCAGAATTTGAACAAATTTATTTCAAAAATTTTATTTTTACTTTATAATGAGCTGTTTAAACATTTAGTATATGCCGTTAAAAAATTAGAGAAACAGCTTTGGAAAGAAAAAAAGTGAATATGCTTTAATAATAATAGAAAATAAATAAATCGTAACTTTATATATAACTCAATTTATAGCGAACGCGATTAATTGTTTGATTTATTTAGGTTAAAGATTATCGTTAACCGATAGCGTAAACTGCAATATTTATTTTATAGTTTAAGCCATCTTAATATGTATGGCTATTTTCTCGGTTATTGTAAAATGAGAAGGCAGGGCGGACCGCGTGGTTTACCACACCATGAATTCACTTAGCGCCAATTCGTGGTTTAGTGATACAAAAATACAATCCAAATTTATGATATTTATATCATATTTTGTACACTTCGCCGCAAATTCGCGCTAACTGTGAATGCAGGTCTATGCATTGCCCAAAGTGGGCACGAAAAGTGGCAAAAATGGGGTAGGAGAAAATCGATAATTTTTATTGAAAATAAAAAAAAAATCCGCATATGAAATGGAAACTAGAATGATATGAAATAAACTCCAACTCTAAAAGGCGTGTTTTTTGTTTGTTTTACGATTAAAATTGAAGAAAGGAAAGAAAGGAAAGAAAGAAAGAAAGAAAGAAAGAAAAGTATATAAAAAAAAAATCTCCCTTAACCAACTTAGGATAAATAATGTGAGCCAATCCATGATAAAAGAAAAAGAAACAATAATTTTCATAAATTCAAATCACAGAAAAAGGGTGCATTAATAGTTAATTATATTTTATTTATTTATTTAGCTCATTTTTGAGAAGGAAATTTTTTTTATTTATCTCTCAATGTTGAATTCTTCCTCAATAATTGAACATTAAAAATCATATAAAAATGATAGCATATAATTATTATATATATGATGGTCAGCGTCATGAACAAAGGAGGAGGAAGAAATATTTCTCACAATATATGCTGCAGGGGGTAGGTGCTAGGCTGCAAAGGGGATAGAGATCGCAGCTGCTCAATCCCGCATGTATAATATTTTGGCATCAATGTTGTTTTTCCCGACAACGTTATTTTTCCAGCTTTAAAACATTTTTTGAAGTCTTTAACTGATTTTTCTGGAAATTTATTTCGCAGCATGTTTAGATTATTTACCTTGTGACTTTCAGATAATTTTGCCGTCAAAACTTTAAATGTCATTTATAGTTTTATATTTAAAAAAAAGAAATCTATGTAAAAACTAATATAATTTATTGTATTAAATTACAGAGAATATATTAGGGTTACTACCCCCCCCCCCCCTGATAAACCGATCTCCGTCTAATATTCTCGCCAATTTGACAAATAGAGGCCCATAACTTTGTGCCATCATTATATTATTTTGGTTCAAATCTTCATTCATGTCTCGTTTTAAAAACCGACCCTCAGGCTTCTTAACAATCCCAAAACCTACGCATGCTATTTAATACATTATTTTGTTGAAAAAAAATAACTCATTAACTTTAAAAAAAGCACATTGTCGCTTACATATACTTATATAATATGCCATATTTATTATATTATAAAATTACTTTTATTGGTATAGTTTGATAGGTCATCTCATTTCTCATCCATTTAATAGTATACACATTAATTTTTTTTTAACAAAAAAAATAAAAATTGTTGAAGAAATGCCTTTATATAACCTTGAAAAAAAAATATATTATGTAATATATAAATAATATAATTTTTAATGCGACATAGAAAACAATCATTTAGTTTTAAATCTCTTTTTTTTAAAAAATTTTTTTTTGAATTTTGGACAAATTGACATGTAATCGTATACTATATAAATATTATATTTTAGCAACAAACGAAATAATTATTAGTAAGAATAACGCTATAGCAAAAAATAAAAATTATATTCTAAATAAGTTAGGAATATTTTATATAGAAATTGTAAATAAAAAACAATTAAAACAAAAAAAAATAAGATTATTAAACGTTTAAAAATGGGAGAAAAACAATGCATAAATATCTTTAACAAAATATATTGAAACTCTCAAATAGTGTTGTTATAAAAGACCGATTCGGGAAAACGGCCCGATTAAGATTATAGCCAAAATAATATTATGGAAGAGATTTTTGCACTAGATAGCATAAAGTATTTGCCTAGAGGCTTACTCATTTGGCTAAAATTTTAATGAGACCGTATTTAAAAAACGACCCAATTCGGGCTTTTTAACAGTACTACTCTCAAAAATTTTGTAAAAATTAATAAGCTAATTTAATTTAAGCAAAATGAACTAGTTAATAATGATTGTAATGATGAAAAATTTCCAACCAAATAAAAGATTGTAGAAGTGAAAAAAAAAGAAAAACTTTTTTTTTGACTTAAAAAAAACGGTTTTTATTATCAATCCTATATATATACCTTAATAGCTAAATTAATAAAAGATATGAAATCAATTAAATATGTCACTACTCGTAACGATAACTTGTTAGTGATCTGTATCGGGCCTAATTCTTCAAACCCGGCAATGCCTGAAATTTTATAAAAAAATTGTCTTACCCCTGTAAAAAAATATAATTTTCTTTCAAAGAATTAAAAATTTGATATATAAATTTAAATTATATTTTTAAAAAAAATGAATGTTGGAAATAAATGTTGCACAAAAATATTCTTAAGAAGTTAAATAAAAATTTGTTTTACTAAAAAATCGGGGAAAAATATAATTAAGAAGCATAAAATAAATTTATAATGTAAAATTTAATCTTCTCTGGGATTGAAGCTAATTTCTCAATGATTTTACTAGTGCTTAGTGGACCACACCCTATTTATATCAACTAACACCCATTCAATCTATTCTTAGAGGCAGTACTTCTCAGTAGTGTTGCTAAACGACTATATTTAAGCATTTAAAAAAAACGGATAACTCAATATTTTATCTAGAAAAATATTTAAAAAGCCTGAAAATTTTGCTCATAGAGCGAGCAAAAGTTTGGATATTTACTAAGAAAACATAGAGGCTTAGGCAATATTTTTATGGCTAAAATATTGAGTCAGCTCGAATAGAACCATTTAACAATACTAATTTTCAGATAAGCTTTTATTCTTGGCAAAGAAGGAAATGCTATTTCGTTGGTAGAACAAAAATATATAAAAATTGTCTAAAAATGTGTATGATAATATGCGAAGCATTTTTAACATTTTATAACAATATCAACCATATTTAACTATACCATATTCAGCTACTAATGACACATGGTAAACTTTACTGCACTATAAAAATCTACCAAATATTTAATTTTGTTCTCTTTTCAAGATCAGAATTAGATTCTAAAGGGCTGTGGTAATAATATTTGCAGATTTGTAAGTGTCATTTGATTAATCAAGAACCTTTCATTCATTTAAGTGATAAAAAGTATCCACGAGAGATATAAGAGATTTATTTTATAATATTCTTCAAATGACCTCTATAAAAATATTGGAACGATGGGCTCTTGCTGCAAATCGAAGTAAACAAATATTAAAATCATAGAGCTCTGCTTGTGACTCAACAATGACATATAATTTCTTAAATTCGTCATCTACATTCGCCCTGATTATCTTAAGTTCGAATATAATGCTTTCAGCTATTCTTACAATGTCAATAAAATCGATGCATTTTTTTTGAATCATTTTTACTTTACTTTCACAATAAAAAGGTTTCAAATGATTTCATGGGAAATATTATATTGGTAGATAAATATATCGCCAATGAAAATTTGAAATCGATATTAACTTCATAAAATAAATTTGTAATGTGATTATTTCTGCCGTGAATGTGATAAATAAATGTAAATTGGAATATATATATGCTATAAGAGCTAGGAATCAGTAACATTTAAAAAAAAATATTTGATTCGCTATATAAATTATTTGGTTTTGGAGCGGATTGGTTACCCTTACTTCCACTGCGCACGCGCTTGGATAATACATTCGACCCGTACTCGGTTTTTGGGTTTGATCTATCGCTCTCTAGTAATATTTTTAAAATTATTTTATTTTTGTATTATAACAAATACATATACCAGTTTAGCGTTTGAGCGCATAATGTTAAAAAGATAGTGAAGCCCATAATAAGAAACGTTTGTGAAAATTAATTTTTCCTAAAAATTTCTAAAATGTTCGCACGTTAAATTTAATTTTTTTTTACAGTCTGCTTATTAGTTGTA